CCGATGTCACGATTCCTTCTGCACAATCACGATAAAAACACACGCTGACATAACTCAACATCTTTTGTTACGTCATGTAAGGTCAGCGCTGAACTAACCTAATATCCCTTGTAAATGTCTATAAAAAAAAAAACTCTTTTAAAACAGGCAGCCACTGAATCACGGCAATTCTCAATTGCACTGGAACCACTGATCCCGTCTAAGCCTTTTAAACTCGACAGTCAAACTAGTTAACCTTCAGTTATTTTCTTCGCTGTCAACACACTCCAGCTAACTTCAGAAAATCCACTCCCTGAGCCGGTCCACTTTAAAACACGCACATCTCAACTCCGAAACGAAAAAAATATCCGCACGAAGATACTGCTTCACGGTCTTATTGTAAATCCAATTCCTTTAATCGAAAATCATTTTTTCATCGGTCATTCAAAATGGCCGGACTCTAAACGCTGAATCAGGATTCCTCAGTTGAAAAACAAAGCAAGCCTTCGATCAGAAATTTGCGGAGATTCTTTTACGCATTAAATTTATGCTTCGTAAACGTGTACAGATTGTTCAACAAATTTCCTGTGCAGTGAGAAATTCTGTAATTTTTGAACCGGGATAGACTTCACATAAATTCAAGAGTGTAATTACGAAAAAAAAAAATGCCTCCGCTTTTCCGATTGGCCGTTTGTGTTTGAGGAGAAAGTTTCGTCTTTTCTTACTTTGAAGAACACCTTGTTAATCTTGACATTCTCAAAGAAATTTTGATCGCAAGGTACACCTGTAAGCTCCGAAATATGCGAAGTACACTAATTTTTTTCTCACTGCACAGTTTACCTTCCGGACATCAAATACATCTTTTACATTCCACAGCTTATGTTTTCGCATTCCTCTTGAGGCTCACTGCTTTTATCGATGGAAACTCAGGAAGACGAGAAGAACTGGGCATTGATGACGGCAACATTGCCGTCAGTCAGCGATGCCAAAAGATGCGTTGCCCCGGGGGCAAATGACATCGACGTCATTGGTGCTTCCAACGTCATCATGCTCAATAATGCCAACCTAAAATTAGAAAACAAATTTTCTTTGATTGTGAAAAAATTAGATTTCGAAATTTAGCTCACCCGTGTATTTCCCGGATAGAGAGCATCCCAGCAATGTCTCCAGTCAGCAAATGGTCACCTCGACCAACCATACTCAGAATGGGATGCTGAGGTCGATGCGCGAACAAATGCTTTCCGTTCACCGAATAAATATCCAAGTGGCGATTTGTTCCAGTCTGGGCAGAAGCAAAATGTAAAATTAATTTAGAAAAATATGCAGAGGAAATTTTTGTACGAAAGTGGTTATAAAAAAAACCAAGTTGAAGTCTGTATCACATAGGAATTTTATTTTTGACACAGATATCGAAAAAAAAATTATTTTCTGAATTTGACATCCAGCCACTGCACCTGAAGTGGTTAAGCAAGAAATCCACAGGGGTTATTGATGATAATTCTAGAAAATTTCACAATTTATTTCTTCTGGCAAACTTTGATAAGAATTTCTGAGTACAGTACAAACTCAACGATACTGATTCGCTATTTACGAAATTAGTAGTTTCAATTCTTGGGACATACCTTCTCTTCAAAGTAAACTGCGATGTAGCCCATCGATGACATTGCCAGCAGAGACACTTCCGGGCCGCACATGTTCGCGTAAGTCGGCGGGATAAGAGAGAGCATGAAACATCCGTCTTGTATCGAATGAATATTTACGGTTCCATCCTTGAAAGGCAAGAAGAATTGATCAGGAATCCAATACTTCAAAATGAAGGGAAGGTAGGGTCTCGATTACAATTGTATCAATCGGAGATTCAAAAATGCACCGGGTCAATTTTTCAAAGATGAACGCTCAATTTAATCATTTGAAAATAAAATTACACGGCTTGCATCTAAAATGTTACTGACGATTTATTTCGAACATGAACATCTATTTCGATTTTTATTTTTTAAACAAACATTATATATAAACTTGGAGAAGCCTCTCTCATGATACATTTTCGGGGAATTACTGCAATGCACTGATTCCCTACATTCATTTTTTCAAAAGCAAGATATTTGAGAGCACATCATTTTTTTTCTTCATTCATTCTCATCAGGATACAGCATAATTGTAAAATTGCATTTCACTAGGCTAGACGATATTTGGTCAGGTTTACAATTCAGCAAGGAGTGGAAATTGTTTTCGTCATCAGGGGATGGATGTATTTTTAGAAAAACTTCGGTGCGAACCTCTGAACCACTCATGGCCATATCCAATTCTGCACAAAGTGACACGCAGGTCACGGGTGCATCGTGCCCGTAGAACGTGAATAAGGGTCGTGGATCCACCTCAAGGCTGCCAGCTGGCGGATAAGTGCCGCCAACTCCGACACCGACAACAGAGGCGACACCTGGTCCATTTGCTGACGAATTCGCCGGTCCGATCGCCCATAGAATACACGTGGTGTCCTTCGATCCGCTCATCAGGAGCGAGTCTGCTCCATCCACAGCCAAACATGTCACGACATCTAGATGAACGCAGGCGAAAATGAATACAAAGTTTACACGTATACACACACCAAAGACAAGTTGTTCTGTCAGTACAGTTATTTTCAAAAAGTTTCATTTTAGAGTACTGTATGATGCAAATTTATTTCTCTGAATCACCTCATCGATCAGATTCATTTCCGTGCTGTTCAATGACTGTTGAATTGCCTTCAAATACGTTATGGCACTTCCGGATTCACCAATCAAATTAACACCAGAAGTAGAAGGTCAGCAAAGAAATTCTTCGGTGACACAAGCATCAGCCAAGATTGTTTTTCAATTTTCAGGTTTAATCATAATTGATTGATTAACTTTTCTAACCATCCATTTCAAACTACGCAATGAAGCAGGCAAAACAAAATCCGATAAAATGTTTTTACCACAAATATAAATTTTGAAGCGAAACAAATTTTTATCAAGTCCCAACAGAAGGACTACAAAGTAAATTGAAAAAAATTATACATGAATCATCACATCAAACTTGCCAATTTTAGCATAACACTTTTTGGAGGAACATGTTTGGATTCTCCTGTTGAAAATTTCCTAATCGAGGGAGGTAAAATCTAAAATTTTCCCTTTCCAAATGTGACTCTGGATTCTCTTCCAAAGATCTCCATTTTTCAAACAATTGGGGGGAAATATTTAAAAGCCAGAAAAGGAAGAGTCTGAACAAATGCAAGTCAAATTTCGAAGAATATTTCCTGCCATTGATTTGTAAAATACTGATTAAAAAAAACAGTCAATGCAACAATCTTTTCTTCAAGTCCCGAAAATTTTGTTATAACCGGATTTTACTGAATTAGATACCTATGTTTTCACTATGCTGGAAAAGGCATATTCAAGTATGAAGGTTGTCCGGAAATCTAGCTTCACCCGGAATTTTAGGTTGGAAATGCTATTTAAAAATTCCAGCCAGAACATAAATGAGAAAAAATTGAGCATGCATGCGTCCAAAAATCTTTATAAATACAAAGAGAAAAATAGAGAAAAAAAAACATCTGAACCTGTAACACGTCACGAAGTACTGTATCGTATGTTCTTACCCAAGTGTCGATGAAGGACTTGAATGATTTTAGCTTTGCTTATGAAGAAAACTCCGACAGATCCATCCCAATGCCCGCCGCAGAAAATCGTCTTTCCGTCATTCGACGCAGCAAAAACCTTATCACTCAACACCAACGACGGGTCGAAACACGCACCACCGATCCTCTTCATGCTCCTCGGGTTATGCATGGTATTGTCCTTGAAGAAGGAGAACCCGTGTGGGTTCGCTTTGTCAGAACGGCAACCAGGCATGGTTTCCCACGATCCCACTCGCCGTCAGGGTCAACAACGTGTCCATGCCCGAGTGCTGAATGAACGAGGCTCGTCCAGGTGAATGCTGATGAAGCGGGATGAAACAAAGGATGACCGGGTCATTTCTCGTAGAAATTGGCAAGTTTTTCGAAGCCAGGTGCTGCGTGAAAGCCAACAGATTCGGCGGTTTGTAGTCTTTGGACGCGCGGAAGATGAATTCTTCGTGGGAGATGCGACGAGGATGTGGATCTCGCAGCAATTGGCAAGGAGTTTGGCCAAAATTATTTATCATGCCTTCGATTGCAGCTCTTTCTGCGGAATCCGCGATCGCGTCCAAATCCACCGCTCCCTCGTAACTACAGCATAAAAAAAGGGGCAATCGTTTCCTCATTTCAAAATTTTTCTTCGTCGATTACGTTCCTTTTGCCGAATATGACGATTGAATGGACATAAATGGACTATGTCACAAACCTGCAATAGTAGAACACATTCAGAGCTTCAATAGCAGGCGATCCTTTCTGCTTGTAGCCGAAAATCAAGTCGATCCAATTATGCAACGTCTGCGTCACGAACTCGCTCTCCTGCAAATTGCACAAAATATTTCCAAAAAAATAAAAATAATAACACTTGATATCACGACAGAAACAAACCAATGCTTTTCGATGTTTATGAATGAAATCCTCGGGATTTGAAGCCCAAGGCGGCAAAATCACGTCGTCAACTCGAACTCCACTCTGCAGTTTCCCCAAATCGAATTTGTTGGCATTGCTCAGGAATTCAGGCAAGTAGAAAAATTCGGGAATCAGTTCTTTCACATCAGAACCCCCTTCCATGAGAAGTTGCCAAGTGCCCTTCAGGGAATGAAACTGGCGATCAGCAACATCGAACCTGGAAATGAGGGAAAATTGTGAATTAATATCCCCTTCATTATATACCGTAATTATCCAAACCTCATTAAAGAAGGATATTCGATCTGAGAAAACATCAGCGAAGAAAAACTTCAGCTAAATAATAATATGACACTTTTTTTTAAGGTTGCATGAAGCCTGTCAAAAATTTTGAAGAAAAACCGTCAACATAGGCTTGGAATCTATTTGCTTTAAAATCAGGGGGAAAATATGATTTCAAAATGAAAAAAGAACGACGCCACACACAATTTCGAAAATATGAACGATGTTAAATTCAGAATCAATTCCAATTTTGAATTACTAGCTGATGAATCCGAAAGCGCGAATATTTTCAACTCAATCTAACGCGACATTCCACGAATTTTCAAAATTGACACTTGATTTCAATGATTTGAACTTTTCGGAAATCACAAAATCAGCCCGGAAACATCGTCTGAAGGGAAGGGCGAAAGGATTGATAATTAGAAGAAACAATGATCGAGTCAGGAAATCGTTCAGAATTTCTTCACGAGAATCCAATTATTAAAACCATTAAAAAAAATTCTGGCATTGATCCGCGAAATAGAAAAAATTCGGAATACTGTACACGCATGAATCAGAGAACCCACTTGAAGCATCATTTCACAGCAAAATGAGAAAGAAAAAAAATTCTGCCTGAAATTGAATCAATACGACCTTGGGGTTCGGAAAAACTGCCTGATGTATCGATAAAAATTACCTCAGGTCTCTCGAAATCTGACCGCGCCCCGATAAACACATCCGATGACAATCGCATCTGACAACATTCGGCGAGCTTCAAACAAAAGAATGAGTCGTCCCAGTCAAAACCCACAGTAATTGATGCCACTAATTAAAACTAACGATAAAAAATGTATCCTTGAAGCGACTGGATTTGACGCGATTAGCAAAATTTATGACCACTCTCATTCGAGGGAGATTATTACTAAAATATGAAATCGTGCCAAAAAATTACGATTCCCAGGAATCAAAGACTCTTGAATACAGAGATTTACGGGGGATATATTTCGTTTCATTTTTCAATTATTTTTCAAAATATTGAAAATAATTATCGCGAAGTCCGCGATAAATCAAAGCTCTTCGCGGAATTCGTAATGCCAGTATTTCAGGAGTAAAATTACGCGATCACATTTCTGAATGGATCGTCGATGAATGCAGAACATCAATGGTTTGAAAGACCGATTCATCAGTTCGCAAGAAAATCAGTTACGCTAAAAACCTCTCCATCTCCCCAAATCATGATTAGCCCTTTGGCTAAATTAGACAAGTTGTTGAAACCCAGGGGATATCTCGGACCCTCAATCGTAAACAATTGTTGCGATAACACAGGAACTCGGGGGTGAAAAAAAACACCAGTTCCCGAGTATATAAACTCGGGGGAATCCGAAGAAATGACCATCAGTGCTCATCAGAGAATCCCAAAATTTGCGTACCAAGTGCCAACTTCTCACAATCCAACAAAAAGTACAAAATGCTTTTCGAAACGGTGAGTGAAATAGTACTGTTTTGAATTACGAGGGTTGCCAAATTTTTGAAGAGGTTCAAGACCCCTTCGCAAACTTCTAATATCCAGTCAACTTTTGAAACATTATTTTCTCCTTCACCTTTCCTTATATTAAATTTTCCCACTTTTAATATTTAAAAACGGCAGTTGAACAAACGATGTGCTCATGTGGATCGAATATTTCGTGCAGTGAAAAGACTCCCGAATCAAAAGCAACATCTGAATATTCTAAAGCTTACATGAACTCCAAGAATTACTACTTTCTTCAACAACAAAAATTCTACCTCCAATTCTGATGTGCACGGCAAGAAAATAAAATAATGAGAAATATTCATTCACTCAAAATTTTGGTCTTCGTTTCCCTGAAAAGCGACTCAGAATATTATAAATTCGAAGTGTTTTATTTTTATTTTTACCTAAAATTTCCATGACAGACCAGGCTCAGAAAAAATGCGAGTTGAACCATCAGTTTTGCAATTAGGGATCGCAGAAAATTTATTTTAATCTGCAATGACAGTAGCTGAAATATTATGGGATTAATATAGATAAAATTTGGCACTCAAGGAAAAAAAAACTTGATCGGTTTAAACCATCAGTTTTGCAATTAGGGATCGCAGAAAATTTATTTTAATCTGCAATGACAGTAGCTGAAATATTATGGGATTAATATAGATAAAATTTGGCACTCAAGGAAAAAAAAAACTTGATCGGTTTCTATGAATACAATTTCAGATACTGCTCGCATTGACAGCATCGCTGATGCCGACGTCATCAGCAAACCTAAAGACAAAACGCGACACCGGAACCACGAGCGGCTTAGAAACCGTTTTTCTGCGACCTCCGTCACCCCTTCAGGTAACTGATTCAAATTAAATAAATATTTAAAATATAATTGCTGAGAATCTCTCTCTTTCATCAGCCCTCCAGTTACGATTCATTAATCGGTCGTCCCTACGCACAACCGACGACGACGTCGACGCCGACATACACGACAGTGACGCATCGTCCGATGTACGAACCGCCTCCACGCTACGGAAGTGACAATGGACACCATTCGGCGCCGACGTATCCGCCACCAACCTACACTACCCCTAAACCAACTTATCAAGCACCGGTTAGTTGTATTTCTGTTCAAACTAAGAGGAAAATGCTAAATTAAAAATTGTCTTCAATTACCGAATTTTATTCTTTTAACGAAGAGATGAACTTTGGTACTCAAATGATTTAATATTTTCAATTCTTTAAAAGTAAGAAAAAATATATCCGTTGCCCCCCCTGAAAAAAAATATAGTAAAATCTCGTCGTCGCAACGAAGCATTTGTGGCCTCAAAAAGGCTTCGTTATGAGCGAAAATTCGTTAAAACAAAATTAAAATAGCATTGTGGCTATTCGTTGTAAAAAGGAATTCATACTAAAATAAAACTAATCCGTTGCATAACCATTAATTCGTTGAAAAGAGATTCTACTATGTTACTTTTTAACGCGACGTTCTTCGATTTATGTCACTAATTTATCTCATCAGCCAGGCTAATAAAAAGCATCATGTGACAATCGATATTTGACATTCGGAAAAACTCTTGCGCTTTCTCTTACTTGAAAATGAATACCCCCACACGAATGCTTTTCTAAAACACACATAAGTCTTTCGCATTCGTCCCTATACTTTGATTCAAGAGAATGGAGCCCAGCTCTTATTACAGCCGATTCGCATGTTCAAGGACTCACTCAAAATATAATCTAATCCAACGTTGGCGCGATTGAATTTTTTTTTCAAGGCGGTCACCGAAATACTGTACAATATTAACTGTTTCTCAAACAGAAATATAATAATCATTGATGCTTTTTTTTAGGCGACGTACAACAACCCGGAAATCGTTGTGCTCCAGCCGGTGGTAAATGGATACGGAACAACAATTGGCTACTTGATTCCAGCTGCACTCGTACGCACCGACGGACCAACAATTTTGACGATCGTTCCCAAATTTACGCCATACGGAACCCAGCAACAACAGGCCGAAACCGAATTCGTCGCCATTCCCAGTCATTTCACCCCGAACCCACCAACGTCTTACAACGACGGAGTACATTAATTCAATCAAGAACTGAAAAAGGACAAGGCGTCATTTGAGATTTATATGCATTCTACGAAAATCTCCGGCTTTCACTTTGTGCAATTTCGAAGTATTAAAAATGGGCTTTTCTGCGGCAATGAAGCATGAACATCGTCCTGAATAAAAGAATCGTTAAAAATATGTAAGGTTACGATTGGAAGGTGAAACTTCTAGCTACACGTCTCTGCACTTTCCAAGGTGAGCGTGGTTCTTCACGTTTTGAGGCCGCCTTAAGCTCATTACGCAAGGCATTACTTTGAAACCGTGCCACCCTGAAAAATAGTCAGAAAGAGCATGAATTTTCGTTAAACTCACGCGAATCACATCACGTAATTTGGCGTTTCTATCAAACCTCAAAAATATATCGAGAATGTCGATTGATAGTTCAAGCATTTTTTTCCACGCTATGTTTTTAATTAAAAATGAGATAAAAATTAAGTCTACACTTACTGGATGAGGATTTCAATTGCTCGATAGCAAAGCGATAAAAGCGTCTGCAAATTTATCAAAAATTTCAGAGCATAGAAGTTCAACCTAATTTTCCGGACAAAACGTGATCAATTAGAACAGAGGTCAGAAAATAATCAAATTATTCGGTAAAAATCACATTCAATCTCTATCCAACGAAACAAGCCTATTCACAAAGGGATAAGGAAACTGATGACACTTTTTGAAAAACCTTCGTACTTCCGATCGACTCCTTCATTCTCTCACGTATAACACGAACACTCACCAGACATGTCCTCGAACGTCTCGTACTTTTGCCGGACTTCGGCTTCATTCTTCGGATTATGGTGTGGGTACCCGAACGAGTCCAGGGACTTTCGTGAGTGCAGCAATTCCAAGTTTATTGGGCTTAGTATTAGTCGGTCATAGGTTCCTTTGTGACCTATGACGCTGTTCAGCAACATGCAAGACGCAGCAATCGTATTCAGCTGCAAACGAAATCATCACATTTTTATTTATTTTTTCGCAACTTCAAGCGTACAAGCGGGGTAGAAATTGAAAGATGCTCACATGCATCAGGTACTGAAAGTTGGAAATTTGCCGGTTCACCCATTTCTGGGTCAATCCCGATGATTTCAGAATGTGAGCAGGTGGACGACCGCTTCTCGAGAGAAGATTCGGCGGACGAACGCCGAGCAAAGTTCGGAAGACTCGATTTCGACTCTGAAAATGACACAATTCACAAAATATAAAACCTTTTTCCCTTTCTCCTCAAAAAATGGAAGATTAGTAAAACACACTTTTGTGGAAGGGAAGTTGATCAGGTGCGACGAATGGTCCGTCAGGAAGAACTCGACTGCCGATCGCCTCAGGTTGTACCTCCGCAAATGAATTTCTCTCAGCCGATTCATCGGAATCTATCGAAATAAACACAAAAAGATATTTCATCAACTCTGATCAGAAAATACTGAGAAAACACATTTTTAAAACCATTGACAAGAGAAAAAAAAACACATAAATCCAGGCATTACAAAAATACTACGAATATCCTCGACCAAAACGGCATTTCCGGACTCACCCAGAAATCTTTTCTTCCCACGTCCTCGATAAAAGGCGAAAGATCACAAAAATGCATGTGAGAAGAATTCACGTCGAGTTTTCCACGCACTGTCGACATTAGTTCCACCAGGAAGCAATCCTCACTCAAGAGAATTTTCATGGGTGATCCCGGACAGCCAGCTCTTCTCGCAGGACTTTCATGGTCTCCCAACCTCAAGAATTAAAAGATAAATTATTTAATAGTTGAAAAGTTAAAATTTCCAAAAAAGGTAAAGGCTCTGGTTGCTTTTTATAATGTATCATGTCATATTACCAGTCAAGTGTAAAGGTTACGTAAGTAGTTTCTTTATAGGTAATTAATCCTCCGAGAAAAATTATTGACATTAAAGTGCAGCATTATCATGAGATTCCGAGATTCCGAAAATAAGGATCTTCCATTCACGACATTACCGATAAATATAATGGCTTAAAAGGTTTTTTTTAATGCGGAGGAAACGAAAGTTTCTAAAATTGGTTCTAAATCCCACTGACGTCGATAAGAGCTCAAATTTTTACCCGATTTTAACGTACTGTCTTATGCTTTCATTGGTGCTCCTTCACGCTTGATAACAATAATCATCGAAAATCCATTACAATAAAAAGCGATGAATTCCACGAGACGATAATTTTTTTGCGCCAAATCTCACATGGTTTGAATGGCAGCAGTTGTCGGTGCACTAGGAACACTGCTATCGTCATCTTCTGTAATCTCATCCTCATCATCCTCGGTTTCGTTTTTTCGACGAACTGCCTTCTGTGCGATTCCCCATGGCAACACACTATCACTGGAACACCTATGATAATCTCCTGAGGAGAGACAACACAAATAATCAATGCAAAAATTGAAATTTTTTTCTGATTAAAGAGAGAGATAAAAACCTTGATTGTCTCTCAACTTCGAGGCTTGCGAATGATCGTCGAAGCTCGGATTCAACATCATCCACACAACCGACGACGACGTCGACGCCGACATACACGACAGTGACGCATCGTCCGATGTACGAACCGCCTCCACGCTACGGAAGTGACAATGGACACCATTCGGCGCCGACGTATCCGCCACCAACCTATACCACCCCTAAACCAACTTATCAAGCACCGGTTAGTTGTATTTCTGTTCAAACTAAGAGGAAAATGCTAAATTAAAAATTGTCTTCGATTACCGAATTTTATTCTTTTACCGAAGAGATGAACTTTGGTACTCAAATGATTTAATATTTTCAATTCTTTAAAAGTAAGAAAAAATATATCCGTTGCCTCCCCTAAAAAAAATATAGTAAAATCTCGTCGTCGCAACGAAGCATTTGTGGCCTCAAAAAGGCTTCGTTATGAGCGAAAATTCGTTAAAACGAAATTAAAATAGCATTGAGGCTATTCGTTGTGAAAAGGAATTCATACTAAAAAAAAAAAAAAAAACCCGTTGCATAACCATTAATTCGTTGGAAAGAGATTCTACCACATCACTTTTCAACGCGACGTTCTTCGATTTATGTCACTAATTTATCTCATCAGCCAGGCTAATCAAAAGCATCATGTGACAATCGATATTTGACATTCGGAAAAACTCTTGCGCTTTCTCTTACTTGAAAATGAATACCCCACACAAATGCTTTTTTAAACACACAAGTCTTTCGCATATGGCCCTATACTTGGATTCAAGAGAATGAAGCCTAGCTCTTATTACAGCCGATTCGCATGTTCAAGGACTCACTCAAAACATAATCTAATCCAACGTTGGCGCGATTGAATTTTTTTTTTCAAGGCGGTCACCGAAATACTGTACAATATTAAACTGTTTCTCAAACAGAAATATAATAATCATTGATGCTTTTTTTCAGGCGACGTACAACAACCCGGAAATCGTTGTGCTCCAGCCGGTGGTAAATGGATACGGAACAACAATTGGCTACTTGATTCCAGCTGCACTCGTACGCACCGACGGACCAACAATCTTGACGATCGTTCCCAAATCTACGCCATACGGAACCCAGCAACAACAGGCCGAAACCGAATTCGTCGCCATTCCCAGTCATTTCACCCCGAACCCACCAACGTCTTACAACGACGGAGTACATTAATTCAATCAAGAACTGAAAAAGGACAAGGCGTCATTTGAGATTTATATGCATTCTACGAAAATCTCCGGCTTTCACTTTGCGCAATTTCGAAGTATTAAAAATGGGCTTTTCTGCGGCAATGAAGCATGAGTATCGTTCTGGATAAAAGAATCGTTGAAAATATGATTCCAATGCTAACCTTCCACTTTGAAGATCGATGTGCAGAGACGTGAAAGGTTCCACTCGCACCAAGAAGTGCAAAACTCCGGCGGAATTCGAGTAATGCGTTCCGTAATGAAACTTTGGCACGGTTCCTAAAAAATAATCAGGAAGAGCATGAATTTTCGTGAAACTCACGCGAATCACATCACGTAATTTGGCGTTTCCATCAAACCTCAAAAATATATCGAGAATGTCGATTGATAGTTCAAGCATTTTTTTCCACGCCATGTTTTTAATTAAAAATGAGATAAAAATTAAGTCTACACTTACTGGATGAGGATTTCAATTGCTCACAGTTTTCGATAGCAAAGCGATAAAAGCGTCTGCAAATGTATCAAAAATTTCAGAGCATAGCAGTTCAACCTAATTTTCCGGACACAACGTGATCACAATTCAGAACAGAGGTCAGAAAATAATCAAATTATTCGGTAGAAATCACATTCAATCTCTATCCAACGAAACAAGCCCATTCACAAAGGGAGAAGGAAACTGGTGACACTTTTTGAACAACCTTCGTACTTCCGATCGACTCCTTCATTCTCTCACGTATAACACGAACACTCACCAGACATGTCCTCGAACGTCTCGTACTTTTGCCGGACTTCGGCTTCATTCTTCGGATTGACCACACCCATGGGCTTGCTCAGGTCCCTGAAAGCACTCACGTCGTTAAGGTTCAAATAACCCGAATCATAATCAGCCAGTATCCAAGGAAACACTGGATACTGCGACAAGTCGTTGTACGTTCTGCCAGCAATCGTATTCAGCTGCAAACGAAATCATCACATTTTAATTTATTTTTTCGCAACTTCAAGCGTACAAGCGGGGTAGAAATTGAAAGATGCTCACATGCATCAGGTACTGAAAGTTGGAAATTTGCCGGTTCACCCATTTCTGGGTCAATCCCGATGATTTCAGAATGTGAGCAGGTGGACGACCGCTTCTCGAGAGAAGATTCGGCGGACGAACGCCGAGCAAAGTTCGGAAGACTCGATTTCGACTCTGAAAATGACACAATTCACAAAATATAAAACCTTTTTCCCTTTCTCCTCAAAAAATGGAAGATTAGTAAAACACACTTTTGTGGAAGGGAAGTTGATCAGGTGCGACGAATGGTCCGTCAGGAAGAACTCGACTGCCGATCGCCTCAGGTTGTACCTCCGCAAATGAATTTCTCTCAGCCGATTCATCGGAATCTATCGAAATAAACACAAAAAGATATTTCATCAACTCTGATCAGAAAATACTGAGAAAACACATTTTTAAAACCATTGACAAGAGAAAAAACACATAAATCCAGGCATTACAAAAATACTACGAATATCCTCGACCAAAACGGCATTTCCGGACTCACCCAGAAATCTTTTCTTCCCACGTCCTCGATAAAAGGCGAAAGATCACAAAAATGCATGTGAGAAGAATTCACGTCGAGTTTTCCACGCACTGTCGACATTAGTTCCACCAGGAAGCAATCCTCACTCAAGAGAATTTTCATGGGTGATCCCGGACAGCCAGCTCTTCTTGCAGGACTTTCATGGTCTCCCAACCTCGAGAATTAAACGATAAATTATTTAATTCAACTTTTCAATTTTAAAGGTTTTTTCCATTTCCGAGACCAACGAAAAATATTACATAGTACAGTATAATGGTCAGTTCACATTTCCAATGCATTCATCAAAGAAATATCCATTAATTAGGAGGCTAAAAAATTATTGACATTAAAGTGCAGCATTATCATGAGATTACAAGATTCCGAAAATAAGGATCTTCCATTCACGACATTACCGATAAATATAATGGCTTAAAAGGTTTTTTAATGCGGAGGAAACGAAAGTTTCTAAAATTGGTTTTAAGAAATACGGAAAATCCCACTGACGTCGATAAGAGCTCCAATTGTTACCCGATTTTAATATATTGTATTAGTGCTTTCATTGGGGCTCCTTCACGATTGATAACAATAATCATCATTATTCATTACTGTATAATAAAAAGCGATGAATTCCACGAGACGATAATTTTTTTGTGCCAAATCTCACATAGTCTGAATGGCAGTAGTTGTCGGTGCACTAGGAACACTGCTGTCGTCATCTTCTGTAATCTCATCCTCATCATCCTCGGCTTCGTTTTTTCGACGAACTGCCTTCTGTGCAATTCCCCATGGCAACACACTATCACTGGAACACCTATGATAATCTCCTGAGGAAAGACAACACAAATAATCAATGCAAAAATTGAAATTTTTTTCTGATTAAAGAGAGAGATAAAAACCTTGATTGTCTCTCAACTTCGAGGCTTGCGAATGATCGTCGAAGCTCGGATTCAACATCATCCTCAATCGCATTCTCCACGCGTTCTCGTGACTCGCAAGTTTCCATTTCTGCTCGGGTATATTCCTGTTCGAAAAAAATGAGAAGCATTTTACCAACAAATAATCGAACACCAAATTTGAAAAGATTCCTTCAATTTATATTACGCTATCCTGCGCAACTCGAAGAAATATTTTCAATTCCATCCTTCCCTTTAAACATGAACGCGTAATTTTTTTTTTCAATTTTCGTATTCCATGCGTCACATTTTTTACACACGAACAGAATAATGTGGAGCCTTTAGAAAAACCAATGAGAAAGTCGGATGTAAACCGACCCTGAAATTCCCTCCGACGACATGGTGACTAACTACGTGACCGCAAGTAAAAGAGCAATGCAATTTGTAAAAAAAGTAATAAATCCTCTTGAAAAAAAAAGTAAAAAGCGCTACGAGCAACTAGGAATTCCCGAATCAAGTCGTGATCTTTCGTCGCTGACGAGAATTCGACAGCAGAAAATGGAGTCATTCAAACGCAAGTGTTTTGCCCACATTCCTACATGTCTTCCACAAGCGCAGGTGGCCCCAGGGCAAAGACAAGTTGCGCAACATTTTATTCCAGACTTGTTCCACCTTATTTGAATCTAAAATGAAAGAGTTGAGAGAATCATGCGATTCTTCGTCAAATTCCGAAATCGTTAAGCAACTTTTTT